CAAGCCGTGAAATATAAATAAATTATAAATATGTAAGTATTTATGTATTTTGTTGATGGTGAAAAGTAAATATATGTATTTTTGTGGCGCTCGACTTTTCGCCTTTGAAAACCTTTCGCTCAAAATGCAATATAAATTTCCATGATATGCATAGCTTCACTTGTTGGCGCGTACGTGCCGACCTTTGCTTGCTGCTGAACCCTACAACATCCGGTTATTTGGCGTCCTGAAATCTGAGTCGCACGCTGAGCTATGCAGTGGCAATGGCTAAGGCAATGTTGGCAGCGGCATCAGGTTCGTCGTTCAACGTGCGAGGCGAAAAGTTCACTCACTTCACCTCGAAACCCATATTGCGGCGCAACTGTTGCAGCACGTGTGTAAGGCTGCTAATGGCTAAAAAAGTAAATTGTTGGTGGAAAGGGAATAACAACAGAAAATTGCATTCCAAGTACAAAAATGTAAAAGTCCCAAAAAGGTAAATCGTGGCACTTCGAGTCAAGTAGCCTGCGGTTAATCAAGAAATGTTCCCTTTTTATCGCACGCCCTACCATAGCTCTAACCTAGACACCATCATCGAGAGAGTACCTGAAGACGGAAAATTTTATTGACTTGGGCACCAGCCCAGCTGTGATCTACCAAAAGGCACTCTTTTCATTCAACGAGACTCCTTAGCAACGCACAAAAGCCCTCCCACATCAAAACACGACAGACGCACATAGAAAGCGAGCTGCTACAATAGACACGTTTAACTTATGATGTATCTAAATCAGGATGGAATTAGGTGGCACGACAGAATCGACAATAGCTACAAGAGCTTGCTCTCAAGTTGGCCTAATCTCTCCCCTTGTGTGAACTATGCATAGTTATAGACGAGCTCCTTCTTTTCACACTAAACAGCCAAGGCTTTGAAACGCAAGGCTACGCGAATGATCTGATAACATCCATAACCGGTCTGCAAACGAAACCATCAGCAACCGCATGCAACAAGCCCTACGTAGTACACAAAAATTGTATTTAGATAAATGAGTAATTATAAATAAAAATCTGTTGGGGAGCAAAATATCTGGGGGTAACTCTTGACAAAACACTTAACTGGAATGCACACTTGGATGCTATTATCAACAAGGCGGCGGAGGCTTTATTTCCCTGTTCACGACTTTATGGTAAATAAAACATGTGGCCTTAGCCAGAAACTTACGTATTGTTCATTTAACACTGTAGTTTAGCCAATAGTAACCTATGCATCCTTAGCGTGGTAGACTAAGACGACAATAAGAATGGCAAACACAAAACTAAGATCTGCCCTGCTCATGCACACAACAGCTTGGTTGGAATACCTCTCTTTCCTATTTGAAACGAAAAGTAGGCGACCACTGCGGCACTGAGATTCCTAAACATCTCTGAAATCGGAAATAGGACCGATCGTATGAAGGGTCTAATTAAGTTCACAAATGACCCCATATTGACAAATGGCCGATCGGCAAATAGTTCTTAAACTAGAAATCTCAAGGAAATTTGAGGTACACATTGCAGATCCAGCTCTCTGGAATGTAGAGAACCCAAACACCAAATCGAATGGAGAGATTTGGTAGACAGATGGTGCCAAATGGGAGAGGTCATATTTGGGCCGAACTTAAAAAAAAATCCACAACTTAAGCCATGCCTTAGCAGAGGCACATCCTCGAACTATATCTGCATTGTTTCGTATAGTTAGGCACCCCTCCTGCACTGAATTCCCACAAAATAAACTGAAGCCAAGAGTACAGGGCATGAAGGGTATGATGGCAATGGGGAGGCTGATTGCTTAGCGAAACAAGGACCGAGCGCAGTATTTCGTGGTCTCTTTTGTGGGTCCACCAAAGCTCACATAAAGAGGATCATAAATAACTGTGTATACAAAATGTTCAACCAGCACAGAATAGAACGTTCAATGCAGCGCCTGTCTCTGTCACGATTTATCTGACCTTCAAATGAAGATTGAAAGAAACTACTTAATTTAGGCTGAGAGGACTTCAAAATTTTTACTGGATATCACACGGGACATCGTGCGCTTCGTTATCACCTCAGTAAAATTCATCTTTCCGAAACAAAAATCTGTGGAGCTGGACGGATATATGCCAGAACACATTCTATGTAAATTTGATGCTCTCGCTGAGCGCCGACTATCTCACTTGCGTGGTGCTACCTTTAAACGATTTGAAATTTGGAACAACACGCCCTTGGAAGTGCTAGGCTACATTAAAATCCTTCCCATTAATACCGATACTCCCATTCTGTTCTACTTTATCGGATGCATAACCGAGTGCGAAAGATACTCATCCGTGCTCTTCTTCTTCCTCTCTCAATTATTTTCTATCTCGTTCTCTTTTCGTTTCTATTTTCCTAGCTCTCTCTTCTTTTCCTTATAATTTTTTCTCTTCCTCTATCAATGTCAATGTTCACCCATCGCTTCTATTCTGTACTTTCATTCCTTCCCTTTCCACTCTTTTCTAATTTACTCCAACTTACTGGATTAAAAATAATACTTCAGTCGGGTGCTCTTTCTCTCCCCTTCTGCCTCTGTAAATATTCCTACTTATTTCTGTCCATTTTTTCTGCCTGTTATTCTGGTATGTTCTTAGTTTTCATGTTTTCTCTCTTGTTCTTACTTTTTTCTATTCCTATTTGCCTTTTCTCTGTCAGCATCGCTCTTTAATTTGCTAAATGTTTCCTTTTTCACAACAAGAATATGATTTAAGTCATGTTCTTTCTCTCTCATTCACTCTATGAATGTTCGCCCTCTCAGTATTCAGCAACACCCCATTTTCCTTTTCTTCTCGCAGTGTCCGAGTCATGTTGACTACTTTTATTTCTTCATTACTCACTTTGCCGTCATTTTCTGGAACCCCGCTAAATACTTTTCCCTTCTTACAGCTCCTCCTATCTTTCTCTCTCTTTTTCAAGCCCTCACCCTCTAACTTATTTTGTATATACTTCGCTATCCCTCTCGAAAGGTGGATTTTTTTTTTGTCTAAATGGGCTCCCCAAAGCTCCGAAATGCTATTGAATCAATAAAATACGTGCCTAAAAGTATGCCACTTTAAAGCTTAAGAGATGTGTGTATGTTGTTGACAAATGGAAACATTTGAATCCGGTAAAGTTTGCTCACAGATGTTGCATATTTTTAGGCATACAGTGATTAAGAATTTCGAAATTTTGGTGAAACTTTTAGAATTTTCATAATTTCTGCACAATGTAAAAGATTTGTACTTGTATTTTAGTAAGGTACTGAGCTACACTTTCATACAAAAAAAAGTCGCGTCCAAATTTACACATATTTGGGCCACTGTACCTGCAGTTGTACTCTACGCCAGAGAATTTGTTATGGCCGCAAGGTGAGTTTTATAAGTAAAATTTCAAGTTCTGCTAAATTTACCCGCTCGGTATTGAGGTAACTTTTCTAACTAAGAGAACCCAAGATATTTGTTAAAAATAATTTTTATCATCATCTTCAGCGTGCAACTGGTTGTGGAGAGCCCACAGTTTTTCATCCAAATAAATACATAAATCAAATCTAATTCAGCGGAAGTAGTCAGAGATTTTTCGCAATTCTTGTATTTTATTTTATTTTATTTTATTTTGTTGATTGCGCGATTTGAAATCAATCCTACGCTTTTCTCAACAAAGCTTTCCGCTAACTACAAACTTTTACTCATTTTTATTTGTTTTGCAATTCACTGCAACCGCTGTCCATTGGTCACCCTTTCATACTCCGCTGCTGTCTAGTGAAACGCTTCTACTACGCAAATTCATCTTTCGCCACTCCGCACATTCACGTGTCACCGTCGCTGCGCGCGCACCCGTACATTCCATATGCCGTTGCTACAGAAAAATTATGGCAATTTCAGCGCAAAAAGTAATTTGCAATCTGTCGGCTTTTGCTATAAAAATTGAGTAGCGGCAACGAGTGATGCTCACAATTTCTTTCTATGGCCGTTGCTTTTGTCCGTATTCATTCTGCTGTGCTTTTGTGGTTTTTGCTCCTTTTTAGTGCGTTTTTTACCCCTTTTCATTTACTCATTTTTTTCGTTTAATTTCTGGCCGTGTGATGCCTTTGACCACATGCGTTCTTGTGCGCAGCTAGGCCGCCACATTTTGTTGACTGCCGTGGCGGCGGTGATTTGTTGTTGCTGCCATTGCGGCAGTAAATGGTTATTTTTTATTAGCATTTTTTTCTCTCATTCACCAACCATAGCGATTGCTGCTAGTGCGCGCCGCCCCGCGCGTGTACGTGTGTTGTAGCGAAACATTCCAAACAAGTGAATTTATAAGCATAAACGTGACTCAACTGTTGTGAGGCCGAGCCTGAGACGAACTGGTGGTGAGGGCCATTGTAAGCGGTTGTAATGGCGATTATGATATTGATAATGTCGGTGAAGATAATTTCCAGGTTGCTGATGGTTTTACTGCTGATAGGTTTCGTGGTGGCTGCATTTCGGTAGAGTTGCTGTCGCGGCACTGCCGATATTCTCCTCTGCTTTTGCCATTCTGGAAGCGTTTGATTAGTGTTAAGACTTTTTAACGCTTCTTAAGCGCGCTTCGTTACGCCCAGTCTATTTGTGATGGCTGTTAAATGCCACTGTGTTACAAAAATATCCACAACTTTTAAATCTGCATGTGACCGCGGTCAGCGCGCGTTCACATTCTACACTTCAGCGACAGCTGGCAGCAGCAAGCGAATGCGCGCAGCACGCATTCAGTTGCAAGTTATCGAAATGCGCGCAGCCATTGCGCTGGAATGTGGTTAAATGCTTAAACGTGCGCCTAATCGCTTCACATTTTCCCATCATAAAAATTGCATACAAATCCGCGGTGGCGCGCGTGTAATCAAAGCAGGTTTTCGTTTCTTCTTAAATTATGGTTGCGCAGCAGCTGCAATGTATATGTACATAGACCCAGCATTTGTACATACCTCAACTAATTCACATATTTATCTTTTTTCTTTTTTTTCGTCCCTCTAGAATGAGCCTGAGTGCACGCCCGAGCTGCCGGCCGCTAACCGCGCGCTGTTTCTCGAGAAGGTGCGCCAATCGAACGCTGCCTGCCAGAGTGGTGACTTCGCCACCGCCGTCTTGCTTTACACCGATGCACTTCAGCTCGATCCCGGCAACTATATACTCTACAGCAATCGCTCGGCGGCACGCCTCAAGCAAGGCCAGTTCGCACTCGCGCTACAGGACGCCACCAAGGCACGCGAGCTGTGCCCGCAATGGCCGAAAGCATATTTTCGGCAAGGTGTTGCGCTGCAGTGTCTGGGCCGTTATGGAGAGGCATTGGCTTCATTCAGCGCTGGGCTGGCGCAAGATACGCAACACAAGCAGCTGCTGGCCGGTCTGATGGAGGCGTCAGTGAAGAGTCCCTTACGCCATGCGTTGGAACCCACATTTCAACAGCTGCGCGCCATGAATCTGGACCAGTCGCCATTTGTGGTTATCTCGGTAGTGGGACAGGAACTGCTACAGGCTGGCCAATACCACTCAGCGGTGACTGTGTTGGAGGCTGCGTTGCGTATTGGCTCTTGCTCGCTAAAGCTGCGTGGTTCCGTATTCAGCGCGCTAAGCTCCGCGCATTGGGCGCTCAACCAACTGGACAAAGCTATTGGATATATGCAGCAGGATCTGGCTGTGGCGAAAAGCCTCGGTGATACTGCGGGTGAGTGTCGAGCACATGGAAATCTCGGTTCGGCCTACTTCAGCCAGGGTTCCTATAAGGAGGCGCTCACCGCACACCGCTATCAGCTCGTGCTTGCCATGAAGTGCAAGGACACTCAGGCCGCGGCTGCTGCGCTTACTTCACTCGGACATGTTTATACCGCCATCGGCGACTACCCCAATGCCTTGGCCAGCCACAAGCAGTGCGTGCAGCTGGTTAAACAGATCGGCGATCGTTTGCAGGAGGCACGCGAAATCGGCAATGTCGGTGCCGTCTATTTGGCCATGGGCGAATTTGATTCCGCAGTGGACTGTCATACACAACATCTACGCTTGGCGCGCAAGCTGGGCAATCAGGTGGAGGAAGCGCGCGCATACTCGAATCTTGGCTCGAGTCATCACTATCGACGCAACTTTGCACAGGCCATCACTTTCCACGAGCAGGTGTTGCGCATCTCAAAGCAGCTAGGCGACCGCAACATTGAGGCGCGCGCATACGCTGGCCTTGGCCATGCGGCACGCTGCGCCGGCGACTGCGTGCAGGCGAAGAAGTGGCATGAGAAACAGCTGGAAATGGCGCTGGCTGCACGCGACAAGGTGGGTGAAGGCCGCGCCTGTTCAAATCTCGGCATTGTATATCATCTGCTCGGCGAACACGACGCCGCACTCAAGCTGCATCAGGCACATCTAACCATCGCTCGCCAACTGCACGATCGCGCTGGCATGGGCCGCGCCTATGGTAATATAGGCAACGCTTACTCTGCCGCAGGGCTCTACGAGGCGGCTATCAAGTACCACAAACAGGAGTTGACGATCAGCAAGGAGGTGCACGACCGCAGCGCCGAGGCTTCGACGCACGGGAACCTCGCTGTAGCCTACCAGGCGTTGGGTGCACACGACATGGCTTTGATGCATTACCGCGCGCACTTGAACATCGCACGTGAGCTGAAAGACACCGCAGGTGAGGCATGCGCATTGCTCAATTTAGGCAATTGCTTTAGTTCGCGACAGGAATTCGAGCAAGCGGTGCCCTTTTATGAGCAATACTTGATGCTATCACAGGAACTCGGGGATGTGGCTGCCGAGGGTAAGGCCTGTCACTTCCTCGGCTATGTGCACTACTGCATTGGCAACTATCGCGAGGCTGTGCGCTACTATGACCAGGACTTGGCGCTGGCAAAGGACTTACAGGACAAGATAAATATGGGACGCGCGTACTGCAATCTGGGTCTGGCACACTTGGCGTTGGGCAATACACAAGCTGCTCTGGAATGCCAGAAGTACTTCCTCGCTGTGGCACACATGACCAACCATCTACCGGGCAAGTTTCGTGCGCTGGGCAACATCGGTGATATACTGATACGCACCGGAGAACACGAAGAGGCGGTCAAAATGTATCAGCGTCAACTAACACTTGCTCGTCATGCACGCGAGCGCCCACTGGAAGCCGCTGCTTGCGGTGCGCTCGGGCTGGCACATCGACTCATCAAGAGATTCGACAAGGCGCTCGGCTATCACACGCAAGAGCTGACGCTCCGCCAACAAATGTCCGACCTTCCGGGCGAATGCAAAGCACACGGTCACCTGGGCGCTGTACACATGGCCTTAGGCAACTACCAGCATGCCATCAAGTGTTATCAGGCACAACTGGGTCGCGCACAGGAACTGCAAGATTCTGGCGTAGAGGCGCAGTCATTTGGCAATCTCGGCATCGCTAAACTCAACATGGGACTCTACGAGGATGCCATCGGCTATTTAGAACAGCAACTAGGTACACTGGAGCGCGTCAACATGCCAACCACACAACATGACCGTGCACGCGCCCTCGGTCACCTCGGCGACTGCTACGATGCGTTGGGTGATTTCGAGGAGGGCATAAAATGCCATGAGCGCCATCTTCAACTTGCGACGGGCTTGCAAAGTTACCGCGATCAAGAGCGTGCCTACCGTGGTCTAGGACATAGCCACCGCGCACTGGGTAACCTGCAAGAAGCTCTAGTTTGTCTCGAGAAACGATTGGTGGTGGCGCACGAACTGGGCAGCCCTGAGGTTAAGGCCGTCGCCTACGGTGATTTGGGGAACATACACTCGGCACTGGGTAACTATGAGCAGGCAGTTAACTGTTTGGAACACCAGCAGGAGATTGCGCGTGAGCTGGGTGACCGCGCGCTGGTTTCAGATGCCACCAGTGCTTTGGGCAATGTTTATCAGCGCATGAATGACGCTGACGGCGCTCTGCGACTGCACAAAATGGACTTGGAAATGTGCGAGCATTTAGGAGCAGGTGCACTGCAAGCACGTGCTTGTGGAAATCTCGGCGCGGTATATGAGTCCATACGCAGCTTTGTGGATGCGGTAAAATTCTATGAAAAACAATTGGCACTGACTGTAGATCGTCTGAGCAAAGCATACGCCTGTGGTTCACTTGGTGAGTGGCATTTTTCGTCCACATCTATTCTATCTTGATTTAATCATACTATTTTATTGACTGATAAGGCCGCGTTTTCCATGAAATGGGCCAGCATTCACAGGCCATCAACTTTCTACGCCAAGGCTTGGCAATCGCACAATCGATCAACAAATCGGAAGAGGAGGCTAAAATAAGATATCAACTCGGTGAGATCTTTACGCTTGTTTTATTTTTTCTTTCCACTTTATCTAACATATCCTCTTCTTAGGTCTTGCTCTCCGCGCTTCCGATGACAACGAAGATGCGCGCACTCAAATGGAGACCGCCGCCCAGCTTCTCGAGTCTGTGCGCTATGATCAGCGCAGTCCTGAGGGCCGCACCAGTCTCTTCGATTTGCAAACATCTTGCTACCACATATTGCAACAGATACTTGTAGCCACACAGCGGAACGAAGATGCCTTGGTAGCTGCCGAACGTTGCAAGGCACGCACGAGTCCCGACACCAACAGTATCTCGCGTAAAACAACTATCACTTGCAGCGATTCCATCTACGACATCGTGAATCGTGCCAAGACGAACGTACTTTACTTCAGCTTGGCTGGCGATGAGCTTTACGCTTGGTTTCTGCAGCCACAAAAGGGCATCGTACGTTTCCATGTTGTACATATCAACGAGGAGACGCTAAAAATATCTAGCGAGAAGCTGGCAGAACACTCAAAAAATACCCAGCAAAAAGGTAGTTTCCTGGAGCGCTACATCAACATGGTACGCGACAATTTGGGCGTCAACTCGGATAGTGTTCTACTCGAAGGTGATGGTAGTGGCTGGCGTTCGAGCTCGGAAAACTTACTCGATGATTTTACTAACGAACGCAGCGGCTTCCTGCGCATGGTCAATCGCAATCACTTAATGAACTCCTCCAACTACTCACTTAGCTCACTGTTTAGTTTGGGCTCTGTTGGTGGCTCGGTCGCTAGCCTACAAGGCTCCACACGCTCCATTGGCAGCCAACAGGGTTCGACGCGCTCACGACGTGCACCCACAATACCCGCCTGGCAAGGTCCAACTTGTCTACACACACTCTACAACTTACTGCTCGAACCATTCGATGACTTACTCCCGTCCGGCAGTTCAGTTTCACGTCAAGGTCGCAAGGAACTTATTTTAGTGCTGGAAAATGAGCTATATCTGGTGCCGTTTGCCATACTACGCAGCTCCAAGGAAGATGGTGAATATCTTTCCGAACGCTGCTCCATTATCACGATACCCTCATTGCAAACGCTGCGTCTGAAGAGCAAAATTTTGCGTACACGCGAATTGACCGAGAACCTGAGCACATCCTTGGTTGTTGGTGGACCACGCATACCTTCTGTATTGTCCGAAACATGGGGCTGGTCGGAATCGCCTGCTTCGCTACAAGAAGCCGCCATGGTTGCCGATATGTTGCAAGCGAAGGCTATCGCAGGCTGTAATGCCACTAAAGAAGCTGTCATCTCAGAACTGCCAACTGCTGAGTGTGTGCACTTCGCCGCCAATCTCAGCTGGAAACTTGGTGCAGTTGTGCTCAGCCCAGGTGATGTGGTGGATTCACAGACCCAGAAACGGTATTATCAAGCGTCAGCTGGTAATGGTTCACATGATGAAGAAAGCAACGAACTCTCTGGCGGCAATATAGAGTTGCCACAGCTTTCTGATTTCATACTGTCCGCTGCCGATGTGCTCACCATGAAACTCAACGCCAAGTTGGTGGTGCTGAGCTCTTATCACTCCATTGAGCCAATCACAGGCATCGGTGTGGCTAACTTGGCAGGCAGTTGGCTCTGCGCCGGCGCCGGTGCTGTACTTATCTCTTTGTGGCCCGTACCAGAGACTGCTGCAAAAATTTTACTACGCGCATTTTACTCTGCACTTTTGCAGGGCGCGCGTGCTGCAAGGTAAGCTTTTTCTGATATATTCATAGTTTGTTCTTTTAACATTTTTATCTGTTATTTCCTACAGAGCTCTTGCAGAAGCCATGCAGACCGTACAACATACTAAACACTTTGCTCACCCCGCTAATTGGGCTGGCTTCCTGCTAATCGGTGGTAATGTGCGCCTCTCAAACAAGGTCGCCATGATGGGCAATGCTTTGTGTGAACTAATGCGTTCGCCGGAAAAATGTCGCGATGCGCTACGCGTATGCTTGCACCTGGTAGAGAAGAGCTTGCAGCGCATACATCGTGGCCAGAAAAATGCCATGTACACAACTCAAAAGAGCATCGAGAATAAAGCCGGACCGGTTGGCGGTTGGAAAGATCTTCTTATGGCAGTCGGCTTTCGTTTCGAACCTGCCGCCAATGGCATACCATCGAGTGTATTCTTTCCACAATCTGATCCGGAGGATCGCCTGTCACAATGCTCGGCTAGCCTACAAGCGCTGTTAGCTCTTACACCGCTCACATTGCAGGCTTTCGCGAAGCTTGTTAACAGCACCGATTTGGCGGACGATATTATTACACTTATTCGAAATGTGTTGGCGCAGTTTCCTCCTAAAGGTAGTCCCGAGACGGAAGCATGCTTCGAGATACCGCTAAGTGTGCGCTTGTGGCGCGTTGCTGGCTGCCATGAACTGCTAGCATCTATTGGATTCGATCTAACCGAAGTCGGACAGGACCAGGTGACGCTACGTACAGGCAAGCAGGCGAATCGTCGCAACTGTCAGTTTGTGTTGCAAGCGCTCTTGGCACTATTTGGTAAGTTTATTTGTAATATTAATAACAAAACTCCTTCGATTTCGTTTATTATTCCCAGACACTCAAGAGGCGCCTAAAAGTCTCGGTTTGGACTCGTCCAGCAGCTGTGAATCGCTCGCCGATGACACGGATGCCGACCTACAAGTTTCAGTCTCCAATCCTGCATTGGCTCTGACATCCACGTCAACATCAACTTCATCACATCTTACTGTAGACAATACTAAGTCCATGGGTCTTGGTTTACCACTGCCGCCAATAAATCGCACACGCGTGATCAGTAGCAGCGGCAGCGCATTTATTTCGTATGTGCGTCGTCGTGGAGAACCGGATGGCGGACGTACCGACACCGACTCGATTCCTAGCGCAGCAGACTGCGCCGGCTCAGTGCTTTATCCCACACAGGATTCCAGCCTGGCCAACACTACCGACAGTGAACTCTCAGATGGTTACATCTCACAGGCACATATCAATAAGACCACTGGTCCACGTTTGGGCTACTCTAGCTTGCGCGCACCAGTTCGTGTCTCTCGTCCTGGTGGTGGTGGTGAAAGCGATGCTGCTTTTACACCCAGTCCACCGGTCACCACACAAAATCCAGTGGAGCAGAATGTTTCAATGGCATTGGCACATCAAACTCGCATACGCAATCTTTATTCCAGCGCTGGTATGAATTATTTGGGCGATAGTGTCATACCGGAAATGAGCGTTGTGCCGAGTGGCATCTCCAGACGTCCAGATAGCTCAAGTTCTGCCAGTTCTACGACTGACTGGGAGATATCTGGTCATGCGACTGTTTTGCGTCGGAACAACCAACCGCCACATCATGGTCATATGCCCCCATTGCCGCCGCCTAGACAGAACCTGCCGCTGGTCGACAGCCTGCGGCCCGTTCCTCCAATGGCACCTGTATACAACAATCTCGGTCCTAATACTTCTATGACACACACTACAACATTGGCATCAATACACATGGAGTCCACAAGCTCAGAATCAGAAGTTGAGCGTGGGTTAGATTTACCACAGACTCCGATGTCTCACTTCCGACTCAAACCCAAAATTAAGTTGGGCAACGCTCAGTCAACGGTGGCTGCACGGCTTAGCAAAGAACATGCACTCTTCATGGACCGACTTAACGTGCGCGCTGATGTTCCAGCTAATCTGAATATGAACCATAAAGTAGCCAGTAGTACAGCTTGCGCACCACCCGGCAGTCGTAAACCCTTAAGCCTGACCGAGGAAGACGACAATGCGCTCGTCGTAACTGCATCGAGCCTCTACTTCTCCCAAGCTGATACCGAACTGCTCAATGAAGCGAAGAAGGATCTTCAGTCGGCAGCAGCAGGCGGCTCCACGACAAGTAGCAACCAAGGGGCCACCGCCAAAGAAGCCAGCAAAGTGAATCATAAGAGCATACAAGACTCGATAATGCGACATATGAACCGAGAAACTCCCACAATTTCGGAGGTATACCACGAGCGTAACCTAGGCCTGGGATTAGCTCCACCACTCTCCAAATTGCTGCTGAGTAAGAACTACGACGACGAACCGAATGTGAGCAGCAGCAGCAGTAAACTCGGCAGCTCATGCACCATTAAGAGCATTGTAGATGCCGTAAACGAGCTGGAACTTAGCGGCACGTCGTCTTCATCGTCTGTCAGCACGGCGAACACGAAAACACTGAACATACCGGCGCACAGTACAAGTAACAGCAACAATTCTGTTATCGCCAGCAGTTGTGGGACCAGCAATGCGGGCGTAAGTAGCACCAGTAGCAACGCTACCAACACTTCAATTGCCACAAAGGATACGTGCTCAATTTGTGGTGAACCAGCTGACATTATCTGCCGCTGCAAAGCAGCCACTGTGCAGAAGAAAGCCACGCTAAAGCCGTGGCTCAGCAATGTACCCTCGAGCATAGTGAAGGCAAGCGAGCTCACGACCGCCGACATACTGGAACGACAGCACAAGATTAAGACGAATGTCGGCAACATTAAGACCAAAGCTGAGGTGGTGGCCAGCATGACTATGACGAATATGAAGCGCGCAAGCAGCCCATTCAATGAACTTTGTCGGCGGGATGAGGGAGATGGTCGATCCGTAGCAGACTCGCAATGCAGCAGTACTTACAAAACAGCGGCGGCAGCGTTGGGTAATGCTGCTAGCAATGCCGGCGGAAGTGGAGTGGCGAATAGTAAAGATGGTGGAAAGATTGCAGCACAAGCTGTGGGCAATGCTGTAGTAGGGAGGAAACTGTAAATTGAGGATATACGAAGGATGAGAAAAGTACATTTAAAAGGCGTGGAGGGGGAAGTACTACATGAGACACTTAATTAGAAGAGAAAGTAAAAACGAAAAATGGAGCGGAAACTAGAATCGAAAACGCAATACTGAATTAATTTGAGTTTCAAACAGGACGTGAAAAATCAAAATACTCTTACATAAGGAAATTATTTTAAGGAAACAGTTATGAAGACGAAAATGACAGCACTAGTTGCGAAGAATGAAATGGTAGAAGTAGCCGTGGAATAAAATTGGAACTTATTTAAATGTACTACAAATAAAAATAGTTAGCAGTAGTTACCATGAACTTCGGACGGAGTAGAAAATGCAATGGTATTTTTTTTTTAACATTAATTCAAGATTATTTACAATGTTTTTTGATTTTTTACGATACGACGATATTATTACATTTAATTACATCCATTTTTTTATGCGCTAATTTTTAAATAATTTTAAGCAAACGATTTATTTGTGCTATATTACGAGTTGTATAGTTTTAGATTATGGTTTTACTTATGCGCAAATAATATATCTATTTTTATGATTTTCATCTATTAAAACACAATTAGCCGTACACTTGCCTCTTGAATAAATTATTTTTATGTAAGTATTAATTTGTCTGTATTGATTTTGAATTAAAAGACTCAAGTGTGTATTATTTAAGCGCGATTTGCATATTCTTTTATAAATTTTGCATTTATTTTCAATAAAAAAAGTATTTAAGCTAAAATCAAAAACATTTTTGTAAAATAAAGAAATAATGACATTTCTTGCCATT